CGTTAAAGGAACATGTCTATCTACTATATGTATTGTACCTTTTCAACTCAGCGCCGCCCAGCCAGCCCACCTAGCCAGCGAGCCAAGCCATATTATCACCTCCAATTTTCCTGAACGCCAATTACATGCCATATCAAGTGCATCACCCTCCACATTGTCCCAACTCTCTATAAACATTCAATACTTTTAAAGAACGGATTCGCCCTCAATTTCTCATCGCCTCCCACCAGCCTCCTTAACACCGCAATTTTGTCCTCCTTCGCCATATCCTTCCCGTCAATTTCCGCCTTCCACTTCTTCAATATATTCTTCAACAATCGACTTCCCTCCTCCACATCCTCCTTTCCATATTCTTGACTACTTGGATCTCCATTATCAGTCTTTACACTCGTTCCGAAATCTTCCAACTCCTCTGCCTTTCTCCTCGCCATGCCTATTACTTTCTCTGGGAATTTGACTAGTTCCGCTACATGAATACCGAAACTTTGATCGCAAATTCCCTCTTCGACTTTGTAGAGTAACGTGACTTCTCGCTTCCTCTCTTGCGACGAAGGTTCTGTATCAATATGCGCCACCACATGTAAATTTTTGACTTGAGGGAAAGTATCCGCCAGCGCTGTCAGTTCATGGAAATGCGTAGCAAACATACTGAATGCTCCAATTTCCCTAACAATATATTCAGAGATGGCCCACGCTAAGCCAAATCCATCATATGTACTAGTACCTCTACCCAATTCATCAATGATAATAAGAGATTCTGAAGTTGCTGATTTAAGTATATTAGCCGTTTCTAACATCTCTGCCATGAACGTTGAGACGCCTTTGAGTTGTGAGTCTGACGCTCCTACTCTCGCTAATATACAATCGAAGATTGTAAGTTCTGCTTCTGAGCAAGGGACGAAACAACCGATTTGAGCCATCAGTGCTATAACGCCGATTTGTCGGATATATGTAGACTTTCCTCCCATGTTAGGGCCCTTTTCGGTCATTAGTTAAAGATACTTAAGTTATACAATGTCTGTAATAAACTGAGACATTGTAAGGGTGAAATTGTAGTACATACTGTAATTATAAGGAACGAGGACTCATCACGAATAAGCGAGACATCATTAGTAATGAATTGAACATCATCTTGCATTTCCATACAAGGATGGCGAGCTTCTTTAAGAATCGTAGAACCAGTTCCACGAGGATGCATCTTCGGACGGACATAAGATGTAGGGGCATGCGCAGAGGTATGGGCTAGCGAAACGATAACGTCGAGATGGGCAAGAACAGAGGCAAGTTGTTCAATGACTGGACAATAGGATGCAGCTGTGGCTACAACTTCATTCACGAGACTAGATTGGGTGCGGTTGTAATTCTCCGAGAGCTGGTCGAATTCGCGGCGTATGGAGAGGAGCTTGGAGGTGGTAAAATAGACACCATTCTTTTGTGTCTGACATTCCTGGTATTTGCTCTTGTTTCGAATACAAGATGCTTCCGTCCGTGTGAGACGCATACACCAGCCATGGACTTTGTTGTTTTCCAAGAAAATTTTCTTCTCAATCTCCTGGCCGAGATCTTTGGCTACTACACGGAATTCTTGATCCATTTCATACTTTAATTTGTCCAACTTTCGCCTAATGATATTGAGACTATCATCGAATTCAGGCTTGATGATATATTCGTGGTTGTCCATAGCATCGAGGTCGACTGTGGTCTCCACCATTTCTGCTAAATTTCCAAGACTAGCGTTGCATCCACGAAGTTTGTCCGTATATGCTTCATCAAGAGCATCACGATATTTTTCATCCATAACATCTTCGAGAGTTTTGATGAAATCCGGTATTCTTATGACAACTTGATATGCTCGAACGACATCTTCTAGATTCGCTAACTTTTTCTGAAATCGTTTGGCTAAGCGATACAAATCAGGTATCGATCGCATGTGTGTTTCTTGTATGGTTTGTTTCAATTCTTGATCTTCAACAAAAGCCTCTACCAATTGTTGTCGTTTTTCAATTTCCTCTAAACTCATTAGAGGTTGTTTCAACCATTGTGCCAAAAGTCTACTTCCCACTGGTGTTTTGCAATGATTGAGTAGGCCATAAAGAGACATAGTTTTCGATCCATCCCTCGGTCCAGGCATAAGATTGAGAGCTTTGAGCGCAGAAGCATCCAGTTTCATAAATTGCGAAAGATCATGCTGATAGAGTTGGTATTGTCCGAAATTCGAATTATCATGTAGCACACCCAGATAATTGATAAGTGCTGCAGCTGAACCCATAGCAAGTTTTAAATCCGTTTGTGGAAGAACTCCCGTAGATTTCTCATCCTTCAAAAGTCTTGCAAGATCTTGTTCGATATCTTTGGTCCCAAAGGTTCCTCCTGCTCGTTCTGTCCAGGCACAACCACAATTTTCGATAATTTGTTTAAGCTTTTGTAATTCCACATCTTTTGTCGTTCTGTCTACTTGAATTAGACATTCTTTCACTCCCAGTTGAATTAGTAGCGATTCAAAATTTGAGTATAAATCGTTGTCGAGAAATTCGCTGACTCCCAATTCCCGAACACTTGCATCTGCGAAACAGACACCGATATTTCTTGCTTCTGATGCTTTGGAGGAAACCTTCACCGCGAGTATGATTGGTGCAGCATCAAATGATCCTCCTAATTCTTCCTCCACGTCTTGCAAGTTTCCCGGCGATGCAGTCTTTGTGACCTTCCAGTTGTTTCTTCCAGAGGTTGTGAATATTTCCACTCTCTTTCCCATTCGATAAAGTGCTTCTCGCAGAAAGTTTTTGTATACTGTTACGGTCATCGTTACTGAGGGAATTTTGGTAGAATTACTGCCTAGATCTCGTAGGACTGAAGTAGTTTTGTAGACCTAAAATTGTCAGATATATACCTAGGTATTTACCTCCGTTCGTCAAGAATACATACAGTGCGGGCAATGAACGTCGCGTCGTCTCCATGAGCAGTATAAAAGTCTCCTCTATCGAAGACTCTAATAGTCTCTCCATCTCTCTGAGGTAGGTTTGTGAAGAACTTAATGAATCCGAGCTCATCGTCAACCTAATATGGAGTGTCAGTGAGAGATCTTCAAGCCCAAAGTCTGCAATTAAGAGGTGGCGTACCTTAAGCTCAGGACGAGAAGACATTTTGAGAGATTTTCCTGGATGTCGATTACAGAAGAATGTCTTCAGAATGCTCCAGAGTCAAGAAAATAGAGGTCAAATCATGAAAGTCAAATTTCTAAATCAATTTCCCATGAATTGAGTGGAGGAGACGCGACGGGCGACACGCTAAACCATAAATCACGCGTTCTGCCAAAGCGGTGAAGAAGAAAATCAATTTAGATATTCTCAGTCGTATGAAGTTCAAGCTTCCCCCTCATCAACTTCCCCAATCTATACAAAAATGTCCGACATTGACGAACGACCCTCTAAAATCCGCAAAGTCGCACCTACCGACGATGCATCGAACTCTACCGATTCAATTGCCCCCAATTGCAATTCCAATGACACAATAATGCAACTCGAAAATTCAATAAGTACTGAAGATGCCCCCGCCAATCCCAAATCCAATACCACCGAGTCCACCGCTGTAGCAAATTCAAATGAACCCAATCCCCTCTCCAAATCGCAATTAAAAAAGCGCAGGAAGCAAGAAGAATGGGAAGCCAACAAATCCAAGCGTACCGAATTCCGGCGCATCAAGCGCAAAGAAAAGCAGGCTCGTAAAGCTGCGGCTCAAGCAGCTGGACTGCTACCTCCCCCTCCACCTTCCTCATCCCGTCGACCTGTTCAAGTCCCAGTTTCTTTCCTTATTGATTGTGATTTTGAATCCTACATGATGGAAAAAGAAATTATATCATTAACAGCGCAAGTAACACGCTGTTATAGTGATAATCGAACTGCGGTTTATCGAGGACATATGGGAATATCGGGATGGGGAGGCAAAATGAAGGAGAGGTTTGAGGGGGTACTGGCAGGTAATTTTAATAGTTGGAAGGGAGTTAAGTTTATGGAAGAGGGATGGATGGAGGCCGCGGGTATCATGGATGGACTTATGAGGGGAGCTGAAGGCGGGAAGTTGCTAGGTGCTTTGGCGACAGAAAATGGACTCGAGGAATACAAGAAACCGCGCAGAGGATCAAAGAAGCAGGAAGCAGAATCGGCGGGACCAGAATCAGCGGAACTAGAATCAGCGGAAGCTGTACAGCTAGAAGTTGATGAACAGCTAAATCCATCCATTCCAGAAGCCTCAGACGCAACCAATTCCTCATCTACCACTCCAAATATAGTCTACCTCTCCTCCGACTCCGAAAATACCCTCACTACTCTCTCCCCATACACAACCTATGTAATCGGCGGCATAGTCGACAAAAACCGTCACAAAGGCCTTTGCTACAAACGAGCTTGCGATGCGGGTATCCCAACCGCAAAATTACCTATTGGAGAATATATGACTATGCAAAGTCGGACTGTGTTGACTGTGAATCATGTTATGGAGATTATGATACGGTGGCTGGAAACGGGTGATTGGGGTAAGGCTTTCTCGAAGGTTATCCCTAAGAGGAAGGAGGCGAAGTTAAAGGCCAAGGAGGAGACTGACGGGGCAGAGGGCGAGGAAGATAATGAGGGAGAGGATGGAGATGGGCTGGATGAGGACGTGAAGGTAAAGATTGAAGATGAGGACGAGAAGGTAAAGATTAAAGATGAGAGCGAAGATGGTGATGAGGGTGGAGTTTCTCTTGAAGCCGAAAAACGGGCAGAAGAGCAACAAGCATTGGATAAGGACGAAGGAAATGATACCACAGTGTGAGAAGCTGATTAAGTAAACTCAGGAATAGAATAACAAAATCATTTTGACCATTCATTCATTCATTCAAAACACTAATCAAAATCCGGGTATAATCTTCCAGTATCCATGAAAACAACCACACCTAAACGCCTCATTCCATTTCTCTCAAACGAAGATTTCTCCCCATAGAACTCAACTCAATCCCCACAATCCTAACCTCTCTTCCCCGTCCCCCTAACATATTCCTCCGCCCGTCCCGCTCTATCCCTCGTAGCCCCCACCTCCGGCAACCCCCTAAACAACCCCTCCAACCCACCAATCCCCTTCTCCCAATCCCCTTCCACCTCCACCATCCTCTCATTCCTCTCCAATCCCAATCCACTACCTCCTTCCGCAAAAATTGCCTCATCCTCCATCCCCAATTTTTCCCTCCACCCCTCAATCTCCCCCTCGTCCTCCTCCACCCCCTTCTTCCACTTTCCTTCCCTCTCCACCACCATCGCTGGCACATTTCTCCTCAGCGCAGCAATCTGTTCCACTAATTCTTCCTCCTTAACCGCCAACGCTTTTGCTCTCTCCCATAACTGCCCATCAAAAGGTTCGTGTTCTTCGCGTTCTTCGATAATATCTTTATCCTTTTCTTCCGGTTGAAGATTGGCATTTATGAGTTTACGCTGGGGTTCCATGCCATTTATAGAGATGCTGGGGGAGGCTGTGAGGAAAGTCTTGTGTATGTACTATTATGCTAGTCAGTATTCTTCCATTCTCTAATCTCAGCATTTCCTTTTCGTTTCCCGTCTCTCCAACATTTCCTCCCGTCCGAAACCCAACATCCCCAGCATCCAAGAAAAAGAAATATCACAAACCTCTCCCACGATCTCCTCCACCAACCTCCTCATCGCATCCTCCCCCTCTATCGGCGGTAGATCACGATCAATCATTTCCCGCGCCGCCCTCTTTACATTCGCGACTAGATATTTTAAATCATCTGGCGATTGGAGTTCGATTTTCCGTTGTTGTTCTGCCATATTTGTTTTCTATCTCTGTCTGTTTTCCTTTCCTTCTCTTCTTCCCTATACAACTGCGCTTTTCCCCTCCGCTATCAGCAGAGATTGTCGCGACGACGAAAGGATGAAAGATGAAAGCAAGAAAATGGCGTTGCGCAATAAATTCTCCGCGTTCACAAATCTGGACTATCTCAACTCGAGTTACCGAAAAGGCGAATCAAGGAATTCGTTCTCGTGGACTTGGAAATTTAAGTATAAATGTACTTGGTAATCAATTACGCTGTATAGTGTGGAATCAAATTGTCGTTGCCTCAATTTTGCTTCACAGACTATTTGTTTACATTCACAAGTCGGTAACCATCTTATCGGAAAACAACTTCACGACACAAGAGCAGAGCATCTAGACTTTTTAGAGTCCGTGCGCGGATGTTGATTAGTAATCATCTGACCTCACCAGGGTTCTGCTCTTTCTTTCTTTTGCACCTGAAACTACTCCCGTTGGATAAACTTACGTGCAAGCTTTATTATGTACTCTGAGAGGCCCCGGGGGGTTTCACTGATATTTCACGTCTTACTTCTGACGTATACTCACGAGTAGATCATCGAATAGATATCTAGGTAGCTACTACGAATTAGATATTAAGACTTCCTTCGAAAATACCTATCTGTTCTACATTTCCTATGTACATAATAATCTCACATTTTGGATAGATGCATTCCTATGATACGATGCTAGTATACACCCTCAAGCACACCAACATTACCTGATAGCTATTCCGATTCCGCTTTGCCCCTCTTCCCCGTTCCCTCTAAAGTTTCTTTTCACGTTCCCCTCTTCGGGCGACAGAAATCCCGCGGGGGGACTCCTAGTAATCTAGACACAGCCACTCTTCCATTCACGCCCTTCAAACTAGATTGGCCTGTCACATCCCGATGCCACTTACTTACTCCAGACTAAATAGTAGCGGCACGTGTCAGTCGTGATTCAATACCACGAAGCTTTCTCCAGGGGCCTGATAGATACAACCCAGTACAAGAGCGCTCTCGTTGTTTGAGGAGTACCTTACTATTCCCAGCTAAACATCTAGACTTATACATATGACGTGTGATATGCAATAACACGCAAGTGTCAAAGCCTGGACCGTATCACATCCCCTCCAAGTCTTCAAGCGCGTGGCAATCATCTGCGCAGAATCTATCACATTCCGTATTCCGAACAAATGTGGACCTCCATCCCCAGTAGTAAACTTAAACCTAACTCCATCTTCATGAAAGAATAATGACCAAGCGTTCAGAGTCCGAATCAAGAACAAATTAGGACCATCCACATATTTGGTAAAGACTATAAAGTAAAGCATCGCCCTTTAAAAAAAGCAAGCTATGGCATCGCTGTTCAGAGGGAACAAACAAACTTAGAATGAAACCTTAAATCGCGCAGAAGTTCTGCGCAGCAGATAGGGAAAATCTTCAATTTGAGAACGCTCGGGTGTTACCACGCTGCAGTTGGTTAAACTTTCGAATCTCTGACAGCGCTTGGGGGCAACGGGTTTCAGATCAGGTATTCTGTCAGATAGAAAGTGTCATTATTGATTAAACCGTCTGTCTTGTCTCGATTTGGATTGAGTTTACCGGATTACGTTAAGGTTTAGTTTCCGTACTGACGCATACTTTCCGGCAGTTCGGATAGTTCTGTGTTAGAGGATCAGCACTAGTATGTATCCTTGCAACGGTGGAAATACATGTGATATGCTAGTAGCGAACAATTAGGAACTAGGGTCTCGAGGCGCAGAGGAAGACTGATGAGACGTCTAGAAACTTCATCTGGCCAATGAGCCAATCTTAGGATGTCTTTTTGATTAACTCCGAATACTCTAGCAGCTGTGATATCCGAAACCAACTGTTCTATCAGGGTTGAAACCTAGCACGGATTGAGATTTCGCACGGAGAAACAAGATGAATTGGCATTGCTCCTGCGTAGTTTCTGCCATCCATAAGTTATTGGGAGGCCTCTGTCTTTTTCAAGGAAACAATAATTTTGTGAAGCAAACCTGACTTTAGATTCGGCACAAAAAGAATATTCAAACTTAAAGTTCATAATATATTGGATTGACAAGATGGTTAACACTGGGAAGCCATCCAGAGGATGTTATCTCTGCAGATCTCGGCGAGTCAAGGTAGATGTCACCCTCAATGCAGCATACTAAGGGTACTAACACAAATCAGTGTGATGAGAAAAAGCCAGGCTGTGGTAACTGCCAAAGGTTGAAGCGCGATTGTCCTGGATATCGACCAATCTTTGACGTTATGCATCGTAATGGATCGAGTTCGGCACAGCGCAAAACGTCTCATGCAATCGCAACCACAGCAGCTCTTGCTACAATTCAAGTGGCTCGCCCTCATAATCGGAGTAACTCTGAATCTAATGTAATACCTTATACACGATGGAGACCAAGGCAAAACTCTTGTCCAGACGTCCAGAGATTGATAGAAGCAATACAGAATGGAACACAATTGGCATGCCCGCCGTTGACAGCGGCATTGGAAGAACGTGCAATCTGTTTCTTTCTTTCAAATTATGTTTTGATTCCTCATGGAGCAGTGAGATGTGGCTTCCTCGGCTTTTTACTTCCATTGATGAAGCTTCAACCTTCGGCCGTTTTATCAGATTCACTATCTGCGGTGGCGCTGGCTACCTTCGGGAATCAACCAAATGCTAGGATGCTGAAGCCAAAAGCCGAGCAGGCCTACTTGAAGGCATTACGTCACGTCACTAACGCCATAGGCGATCCTAAACAAGCCACTCAAGATACAACACTTGCAGCGGTTATGTTACTTGCGCTATTTGAGGTCTATTTTCTCCATAGTTCTTTGAAGATGCCGTTACTAACTGTGAGTAGACCATGGCATATAGTCTCGTTAAAGAGAAGGAAGGCTGGAACACTTGGAATTCCCATGTGACTGGTGCAACAGCCCTTTTGAAGATGCGCGATGTAGAAGGTCCGATGACTCCTTTAACTTTGGAATTGATATGGACCGTGAAAGTACACTTGGTACGTTTAAAATCGTTTGTGTCATTGGTTAGATCAGTCGGTTAATTTACGAGAACAGAACCTAAGTTGTCTCCTCAACGGAAAGATGCTCGATATCCCAGCGGAATGGAATGAAGTCCTTACTAAGAGAAGGGACAAATCCAGGGGCGGCCCGACAATGTGTAATCGTCTTCAATGGAAAGTTGCGGAAGCGCGTGTTGAATGTGACAAACTTATGGCCAGCGCGAAACGAACTCCCCAAGACTTCGAAAATGTCCTGAATTTGATGCGAAAAGCTGAAGCCATAGAACAAAGCTACTCGGAATGGGCGGAATCAATGCCAGCTCAATGCAATTATAAGCCCATAGGATGGATCGACGCTATACCGGAAGAGAAATATGCCGAATCTAAATATTTTCCTGGTAAGATCGACAAGTATCACGAAGTTTGGGTAGCTCATATTTGGAATCTCTCCCGAGGATCGCGATTACTCAATAATAGTACTATCGTCCGATGTGCTGCCTGGCTATGCTCACCACAAGATTACCGAACTACTGTGGAGTATGAGAAAGCTATGATATCCGGAAAAGAAATGATTCGGGACGTTATTGCCAGCGTCCCTAATTGTCTCGGGGAAATACCAACAGCTATGGATATCAAAATCCCTTCTGAGCACAGCTTCGCGTGCGGAGATGAAAGCGATGCCCGTGCGAAAGGTCTATCTGGACTTTTCATATTGTGGCCTTTGTTTTCCGTCGCTACTTCGGATTTTGTTAGCAAATCGCAAAGAACATGGGTCCTAGGAAGGATGAAGTATGCGGCGGAGGAGTTGGGAGTTAGCCAAGGATCTACTGTATATTCAGAGGTATGTGTATATGGTAGCAATATTTTGTAAGTGAAGTTTCTAATCGATGTTATAGCAAAAATGTTCTGTACGAATTCCATCTTCGATGTTGGAAAAAGACGGCCTCATGCCTTCAAGGGTAGAGGAAATCTTGAACCTTCAGATTCCTCCTATTCAACAAACCTTTGAGAATGTTGACGAAATCTGGATCGAAAGGACCGATAGGTTTTCTCATTATCCAACTCCAAGCCCAACATCGACTTCTGCATGTTCGCCGAAGGCTCAACATGATTGGACATTGTTGAACACCGAATCTCTCGATATGAATACAATGAACAATTGGCCGCATCAGTCTCAGTCAAACTGGTTCAATCCAAACTTGGATGCCAATGTCATCACCTCAGCAGAGCCAGCTCAACAAACGTTGGCAGTTCCAAATCCTCATTCAGATTACCCGGTTGAATCTCAACGAGACAGAATATACCACGAGAGATTTACGGAAATATGCAAGATATGACAAGGACCGACAACGGATGGAGGTTTGCATGAGAATATGACGAATTTTATGACTGGTGTTATTGGTGGTATTAGTATTATTAGTGTTAGTGAGGTTGATTTTGGAGTACACTTTGTGAATTTAGCCGGTCCGGCGCTTATCCACTTTTAAATTTAGCGTCGAATGGAAGCGGTAGAAGCGGAAGAAGCGAGGACATTAAAGCTTGGCGAGATTTTCCAAAGAAGCTACAGCACTGCTGCTATGTATCACTATTATTGTAACAATGTTGTACATTACAACGATTTTGTAACCATTTAGATAAGTTACAAGTATGGTTGATTGCTCCGTGTCTTGAGACATTCGTTGCTGCTAAATTACCTCAATAGAATATCATGAATATGAAACCGTGCCAATACACATGATACATTTGATCATCAAAACATAGTTTGTGGAGAAATGGGATGATCCAATCATGATCGAGTTTCAAAATAAAACATGAGGAGGACACCCTCTAAACTTTGATCCCTGATGTAAACTTTGACTTGATCTTAAACACTACCGAAGCATCTATTGGCCGCGGTAGCTTCATTGGCAACGATCCCTTCAACATCCTTATATAATGCTGGTGCACGCATAAACAGGTTTAATTGTGATAATCTCTATAGCAGTGAGTTCGAATCCAAGGCCTACCAATGGTTGAATGTTATCGGGATCTTGAATCCAGTCGTACAGATGCACGTGCACACACGGTTTGACGATGAAAGGGATATCGAAGATTATAGGACGGAGTGAGCTAGCCACAACAAGACAACTTTCTTGAGAAGATTGCCTCGATTGCCTAACATCAACCGAACAATACGATTTTGATCATCTCTCTTAACTAGATCTCCCACGGGATAGGTATTTACAAGATACATGATCCAGCCCCCTCCCCCCCCCTCCGATTACCTAATCCATACCCTC